ATATAATTGAATCAGGATAGTATCGCAGGGAATAAAGACCGCGTGAAATGTTAGTTTGTAATTTCTAGGCGAAGCGTACGCTTGACAATTTCGTTATGGCTAATTAAACTTTGTTAAAACGGATTTTGATGCACGCGCGCAAAATAGAATACACAATTTACGTTTGTTGCGCACAAAACTGTGCAACAATGATCGTGTGTAGCTTGCTTATTACTATCTACGTAAGATCAAGTTCTTTAATAAATTTGCATTATGCGAACACGCATTGTTGACACAAGTAAAACAAAATAATTATTTTTTTTTATTTTTTTCTGTTATGTAGTTTATTATAGTTTTCGTAAAAAAAAAAATTTATTGATTTTTCTGTCATGCGATTGTTACATTTTTCATATTCCCGTTGATACCGAAACTTTTCCTGGCTCGCGCAATTTTCTTTTACAAAATTGCTTTTTTCATGCGACGCGTGAGTTACGTGCGAAAATGAAAATGAAAATGGAAATTGTACGTACTATGTAAACGTGCGTCTACACGGGTTTCTGTATGCATGTACCGCGGATTTGTAACATCGGAATCTTGTATAACCGTGTTTGCAACGAAAATTACGTGTAACCGCTGTTTGAACTGCTACTGTTGCTGAATTTGACCGCTTGTCAGCTACTTTCAATTACACGCTCTCCGCAGCTTGTTGCGAAACCAGAGTTTCGGCGTGAATTCGAGAGCAAAGCTATCGGTTAAGCCTAGGTAAATGGATTAGCACTTGGAGAAACGCGGATGGGAAAGTAAGCGCTTACGCGCCTTTCGATTTCGATACTTGGGATTTTTCGGCTTTACTTTGGTTTTAAGTACGGATAGAAATTGTGTTGAAAAATATTTTAAACTGCTCACTCTGATTTTTTGGTTCACGCGTTGTAGTTTTTAAATTTGCATGCAAATTTATTAAAACGTAGATCAATGTGTTGGATTAAGCGCATTAGAAATTATTCAGACGAATTATCTGACTAATTCAAACACTTGATTTTCTTTCTAAAAAAAAAATTAAAAAATTGAAGAGCCTGAAAATATTAGTATATTAAAAAAGCATTGTATTTTGTAGGAATCAATGTAACAATATCTCTTTCTTCGTTATTTATCTTTTATTTTAACAGGATTATAATATGGATTATAATTCAATCTTATTTGTCAAGATATTTGCATACTAAAAAGAATGTTAAAAAATGTGGTACATAATTGAATCTCTGTTATAGAAAAGTCCATTCTGAATTGATCAAAGACTTCGTTGATGAAGTTTCGTAAGATTATCGAGCAACTCTTGTATAAAACTGCGCGTTGGATCGAGTCGAAATGGTCTTCCCCGTCCTGGACTGTCTCTCTATAATTACAGAGACTAACGATGCGATTTTGTGCGTGTCGGTGAAAAGCGATTTTCCCGCTCGCACAACTTCGTGAGATTGATTTTCTGCAATTAAAGGACAGCCTTAACGAGTTTCCGTAGAAACGGACTGCTTTTTACTGACTATACTGCGTATTTCTTGTCACGCCGATGTCTTGCATGTCTTAAAGGATTTCCGAAAGCCTTAATATTGCCCGAAAAGATTGCAATCTTCTTATTTACATCTGGCTGATCAGTAATGTCCGCTGGGACTGTTTGACATGTACTAGAAGAGAGGGTGGTTTAGAAAATAAAAGGGGGGAGAGAGGAACTTTTTGAAGTCCGTTCTCTTTATTAAAAGCCTGATTTTCTTCCGGTCATTTGATCCCAAGGCAGGAGATGTGTAACGTTCTTTCTCAAAAGGGAGCTCATAAACGACGTCAAAAAAAAAATGGCAAACGACCTGAATAACAAACTGTTCAAAGGGGGTATCTTTAATAAGTAAAGCGGATAACCATCCTTCTCTCTCTCTCGCTCTCTCCCCCGCTTACTTTCTCACTCAGCTTAAGACGCGACTTTCAAGATAATTAAAAACCTTCGTGGCTAAATCGTGATCCCGGTTAATTACACGATTGCATTTACTGCACGCAATGCACTGCATCCGGAAGCGGATTATATTAAAAATACGTACGTCAAAGAGTCGCATGTGTTAATTAATTCGCGTTTGGAACGTTATCGTGAATTAAGTTAAGCCGCTCAGCCGAGCTCTCGCGTTCTTCACGCTGGGCTGTAATAGCACGCGATCTGCTATAATTTCCGGTCAGACTGCCACCGCTCGCCTTTTCGACGCCAACTACAATGCACGTTACACGCGGTTTCATCGTTTGTTGCTTGTCTCATAAAATTTGCAAAAAAGAAAAAAACGGATATTATATTCTGCTGAGAAAAAGAATTTATATCTCGCTCTGCGTGTTACGAATATAGATGTGTCAATTTTTAAAGATTGACGTATGTGATACGTGTCAAGTATTGAATACCTCGCGCGAGAATATCAGTCCCATTGCTAATCGGAAGCGCTTGTTAAACCCTGCGTCACCGGTTACGAACAATTTCTAAAGCACCACCGAATCGCCGCTCATCGGTTATGCTCTCACGAGAGAGCCGCGTGCTCGCGAATCGTTCGCATATACGTCAATCAAGTCGGCGCTGAATTCACATTAGCGTTAAACGTACACGCATCACGCGAATACGCGGCTGTATCTGCCCATCAGCGCCGATCATGCAAGTATTCCCGCACCTATTAACGTCTAACTAGACGAGAACAATAAAATCTGCGCGCAAGTATTTCAGATCGATACGTAGATGGAAAAGTTAATGAATGAACCTGACTAATTGGACGAAAGGAAATAACGTTTGCAGAACAAAGAGCACTTTAAGTCACATTTACTTTCTAATTATTCTCATATATATGAACTTTGAAAAATGTCATTTTATAATTATTAACTAGGATATATATTCATAATAGTATAAATGAATCCTTTCATATACTATAATATATTAATATAATATAAGTGGTGTTTAAATTACATTTTTTATCTTCACGCCATTCTTAAACGCTTATATAATTTGAAATTAAATATTTTAAAGATATCTCAATTTTTTTGATGTCATTATTATTAATCTTTTTTAAGATCTCTATTTTTTCTTTATTACCTAGTAGAATGCCTTGGAAGAAGATAGGCGAAGCGTCATCTTTCGCGAAATACCGTGATTCTCCTTAGTTTTATAAAGCAATGAAATCACTTCTCTCCTCTGGCAGCCGGCAAACAATCATCGCGGGTATGCGCATATCGCATTCAATTACGTTCTCGAGCCAATAGCACAAACGACGCAAAGCGAGTGAGCGCTTTTGTTCTATGCAGCTTTGTGCGCCGTGCATCTCTGTGACGCGCGTCGCATCCTGCCGCGCTCTGATTGTAAGGATTCCGCCGAGTGCGTAATGACGAGACCGCAACGACGGTGGCCGTTATATTATTTGGCTGCTCCCGATCCCCGCGGTTCGCTGACCGGCAAACGGCGAGTAAGAATGCGCATGCGAGCCGGTTTTTAATTATTCATCCGCGTCGTAAAACGCCGCCGGTGATGGTCACGCGATCCTCATTATCCGTCACGGTTCTCGTCATCGTTGTCGAACCGTGTTTACCGAGATAAAACCCTCGCACGTGTTTCCGCGCATTAGCACGTATGCCCAACGACGGTGGCCGTTATATTATTTGGCTGCTCCCGATCCCCGCGGTTCGCTGACCGGCAAACGGCGAGTAAGAATGCGCATGCGAGCCGGTTTTTAATTATTCATCCGCGTCGTAAAACGCCGCCGGTGATGGTCACGCGATCCTCATTATCCGTCGCGGTTCTCGTCATCGTTGTCGTCGTCGAACCGTGTTTACCGAGATAAAACCCTCGCACGTGTTTCCGCGCATTAGCACGTATGCAATCATTCGGTTTCACGCAGAGCACTCGCACACTCGAGCAGCCACCGTACGATTATCCCGGATCACTGACTATGAACCGACAATTAGCGGTGCGAGACTTAAACGCGATCCCATGCGACGTTATCGAACTCGCCGACACAGCCGCGAATTCTCCGCGCGTGGATGCACTTTCGCAAGTTCCATCCGAGAGGGACCCTGGATGCGACTCGGTCGATCTAACATAGTCCCCATCCGCGTAATTACTTCGAATCGTTATGAGCGATAACCGGAGCTGTGCGCGAGCGAACGTTACGTAACTTTGTACAATTTCACGCTAACACGAAAATTCTGAATTTATCCGCGAGACTATGGGAAAAAGGATATTGGCGATATGATTTGTTTTCTTTTATTGAAGTACAAATCAAGTTTTATACATTTTTCAATTCGTGTAAATCAATTTTTAATTTTATATTCAAACACAAATAATAAATATCTTAATTTTTATATATTTTGTAAAGCTTTATTGCATATACTCTTATAATTTAAAAAAAAAAATCTAGATCTTTGATCTAGATTGAAATCAGCTCTTAAGTATGTTGTACTGGTTCCAATTAGTATTTTAACATTTTCCGCGAGTACGTGTTTCTCATTAATTCGCGATTAGTAATGCAAGACTGCGCACGCTGATTAGAGGTAGACGACTATGAAAAAGCTCAGCTTGCTTCGCAAAGGTTCTTGAGGCTCAACACAAGCGTAATGGAGCAGGGATTTCTTGCGATACCGTACATTTGTTGTTATAGAACGCTAATACCTATTCTGTCAGTGATTATATACTCCTTTGCGAACGTTAATGGCATCATAAGTGCACTAATTGCGAAAAGGTAAAGAACTGAAGGGCGGAATTTTATTAATGACGAGGATTATCTTTATAATGCTGTATTAATTTCAACGATGCAATAAGTTTCTCGAATGAGCGCAAAAATGAAGAGACTGTATCAGATTTCATCACTGAAATTCAATTTCGCAGATTAGTCCCGCAAGAGCACTTTATCTTGAACGTCCCCGCAAGAATGCGATAAGTTTCTCCTCGACGATGAGGGCGATGTTGGATGTAAACGTTCGCTAACATTCTGAAAATTCTAGATAAGATTTTAACGTACCTTGGCTGACCGCGATCGCTTCGATAACCAGCAGAAAACCAACGAGTACCAGGACGGCGAGCCAGCGACACAGCATTTTTAACACCTCGATCGCTCGCTGCACTACCGATCCTTGCTTGTTAATCCTTACTCCAATATTCACTCTCGCGAGTACGATGTGTACTCATCAATCCATACGTCTATTGCTGTATCAGCACACTACGCAATCTTTTCACTCTATCCTTTACAGTAAAAATTCAGTTTTCTGTCAAATCTCGAGAATAATGCTTCTCGAAACAGCATACACACTTAACTTTTTTTTTCGAAAATAATACACGTTTAATACTTGATTATGCGAGTAATTTAAAATTCGTACATGCGCATGAATATGTCTCGATACTCACTGCACCACGATTAACGCCTGGGGGGCTTAATTATTAATGGGGGGCTATTAGCAAAATTTTGCCGAACCGTTCAGCTTCGTGAAAACCTCCTGAGCGAAAGATTCCGCAGCCACGGATAAATTCTTACACAATCGCTCGTAAATGTCGTAAATCCACGAGGGTAAAATCCACGATAATAAGGTCCGGGCGTTCACAGATAATATTCGGCGGCCGCTTTGGCGCGTCTCCGATGACAGCCGCGCTCACGTGGAGTCTTCGCTAGGACGAGCGTCGCGACGCCGGGCCCGCGAATGCCCTGTCTCAGGCGCAGCATCATCATGGTCGTTGGGCCGAGACGCGCGCGTCGGCCGCATCCGAATCGATCGCCGATCGAGATCGATTGCCGATTAACTCGCGTAACTCTGCCGGACGAACGTCATCGTACGCTCCTTTTAAGTCGTCGTTGTCGGGCCGCGTCGCATGTTCGCCCTTCGTCGCCGTCGTCTCGCGCGACGACGTTGAACCCGCATGGACCAGCCGCCGGCGCGGATGAGGCCTGCCGCACGGCGTCGCGGCGCGAAATGATCCTGCGGGGGATACTCTGCCGCGGCGCGCCTGCGCGATGACTTTGCTGCGTTCGCCGCGGATAAAGCGCGGACCGGTTACGCGCAGACCGCTTTCTCTACTCTTCCCTCCGTCTCTCCGCACTATCTCACCCTCTTTCTTTCCCGACCTCCTCCTCCTCGACGACGCGGCCGCCGGGGGATGACCGCTGCGAGATCGGGAGTGCATCGGAGCTCGGAGCACCGACACACACCCCGACGCTCGTCGAGGACTCCGTCTTGTTGTCGATTCCGCAGCTACCCTCGGGCGGGAATTATGATGTTGTCGCTGCTGACGGATCGGCGAACTTTGCCCATATTAAACGTCGGTTATCGCCGATTCTCGTGCAACTCTTGCTTCGTCATATATGAAACGCACGCGTGATTTGATAATTCCATCATCAGTATTCTGAAAATTCGGGAGACGCAAACAATAGATGAAAATGCAAAATAAAATTTTATAATTGGTGCGCTTATAAAATTGCTCACAAATATTGAAAATGCGATCTTTATATTCTAATAAAGTACGTGGATAAAGTTTTCAAAATGGATGGACTATCGATGATAATCTTTTCTTGTCAAATCTGATTAATATAAATTAATTAGCACACACCCGAGAATTTGACAGAACGTTACTCGTTTCGTTTCCTCTCTCAAAATTGATAATTGTTCGCATCATGACCGTGTCGTATCACGGTCATTGAACTCTGGCAAGACTCGGCAAGTACTTGCCAAACTGCAGCACATTGGTAGCGACGCGTAACGTATTCCTGTTTACAGAAACTTATCGACGTGAATATCGTTGCCAAGTATGCGCTACAGGCTCGCTTCGATCGACAATAACTACTGTTAATGTTAGTGTGCGAGGTAGAAAGCCTCGATTGCAAGCGCTATATCAGTGTAAGGGCTTACAGAAGCCGGATGATCTATGAGTGCTTTATTCAAAAGCTTGGCAATCCGCGGATCAGTGAATCTGCGGAATCACGGACTAATAGTTTCTCTATTGAAAGTGTTTTCAAATTGCAGATTTGTGATGTTATAGAACTGAACTTTCGTAAAGTTAACAACAACATTTTCGTTGCTCGAATTGCAATTTATTTATGTTTAGCGATTTATTCGCATCGGGAATCTATTAATGTACACGCGCAAGTACAGTTTTTTTCCGCAAAACTCTAGTTTTATCTATCTTTATATGATAGCATTTTTATTTTGTCTACATATATCAAAAACGCAAGTTATCAATCAATCTTTAATTTTTTTCTTGAAATTACAGATTAGTCTATTTTAGTGATATCAGCCTTTAATTATCGGACGAGAGTTAGTGATGATTATAAATCGTAGTTGTTTTCATATTTTTATATAATCAAAATACATTGATCGTGCGAGGGTATTTGTCGCGTTTGCAAAGGGTTTAGCAAATTTTCGCAACGACGCTTCGAAATGCCGGATCCGCTGAGACAGAATTCTTTTCCTTTAAACGGATTGTCACTGTTTAGTTCATAGAACAGCTTTGCCGAGCGGCTTCATGGACTCCATCGAAACATGTAGGGGAGCTTTAGCGATTTCACGTAAAAGGAATACGTGCCAGCGCGTGCTTTCAGATAAGACTGGATCGATCGGACGGATCTAGAGCAAAATGTTCCGCCTGTTACACGTGTATACGGCCCCGTGTGGCGCGGCATGCCTATGGTGTGTCGGCCTTCGATGTCGGATGCTATTTGTTCGCGATCCACGATCGGTACACCAAACGTTTCGCATTAACGAGAATTCTGTGCGGTTGATTTTATGAGCAGAATAATATATGAGGGATCTATTGAGTTGTATGGTTCTCTCTGATGTGAATTGAACATTGTTATATTAATATACTTTGAGGAAATTTAGCAGCGTACACTGCAGCAGATTCTGACATGTATTCAATTTTTTTCGTTTTACGAATGCGTGCTAATGATTATGATCATTATTCATATTGGTATTAATTAATAGTATTATTACGGATAAGAATAATTCACGTTTTTCTATGTTTATTTTTATATCTTTAAAATATCTAATTTTCGATTTTGTGTGATATTTTTGCGGAGTTTATACAATAACTATCACGCTATACTAATATCTCGATGCTTTCGTTTATATTTGGCCGTTAACTTGACTTCGCAGACTCTTTTCTGAGCTTTTGTAAAATCAATAATTCGTTTGTTTTTATTAGCAATGAATTTTTATTAACGAGAGTCTACATTTTTCCATCGCTCTCTCTTAATTGCAATGCGCGAAATATGTTGTCGGAATTTCGTGTGATTTTGATTAAGTATTTAATCACACTTAGCCGATAAAAGTAATAATTAAATTAATTGGTAAACTATACATAAAGAAACAATATATTTAAAATAAAAATGATAATTTTGTAAGATGTTTAATATTTAAGCATAAGATTCTTTAGATGTCCGTCATAAAATATGGCGGAATTAAAGTCGTCCTCCCTTTGTCTACAGTACAATATTACTATGCTGCAGGGATTTATTCACTTTGTTTGCTCATGTTAATAATTATTGTACAGATATTCTGTATATAAAGTTGTGTCACGAAGTTGAAATTTCGAGCTAGTGACATTTCGCATGCAGTATAACTTTGCCAACGTTTGCTAAATATTTAGTCGACATACATCCGTTTGCATAATGCTCAAAGATCCACCCTGAAACCGCAAGAGCCGAATTCCCAGCATGCGTGTAATGCCGAATGTAAGGATGCCTCGGTCTAATCCCTTGCTGGCATCGCGTACATAAGCAACCGGTTATATCCGCAGAACTCAAAACCGTACGACCACATTTAGCGTTAAACACGTGTTGCGAACACGGGAGGGAGGGGATCTAGCATGTTGTCGTGAAATTGCGGAGCGTGTTAAGCCTGATTTGTTGGAATTTCCATCACAGCGCAGATCAAGATTTGATGACCTTAGTTTCTCGTGATTTAAAGTCAATTGGAGTAGCACTGATAACAGAAATGAGTGCTTTATATTTCGGAGTAATTTATCGTGATGAAATTGTTACAACTTACAGTTATATAAAATTGCAGAAATGCTATTATATATATATAATAATTATTAATTCAAATGGTTGCCATAAAAAATAAAACTAATTAATTTATTAAAATTAATTATTAATTTAATAAAATTAATTTATTAAAATACATTTCTCTAAAATGATGAAATAATACGTATTTTATAACATATTAATTACTTCATGGTGTATATCTTTTGAAATTTATTAAAATACATTTCTCTAAAATGATGAAATAATACGTATTTTATAACATATTAATTACTTCATGGTGTATATCTTTTGAAATTTATTAAAATACATTTCTCTAAAATGATGAAATAATACGTATTTTATAATATATTAATTACTTCATGGTGTATATCTTTTGAAATTTGTTACATATTATATAATTTTCATTAAATATATTGTATATTTATCATGCTGAAATTCTGTAAAAAACAAATGTTTGCGTTAGAAAATTGCAAGAGATTAATTGCACTCAATCTACATTATCGATAAACTATATCATATTTATTCATTTGTTTTTGTACATATACGCGCATACATATTATTCGTAGTATGTAATTCGATTCTTTATTTCAATGAAATTATAACATAATTATAATACTCTGAGAATATATTGACATAAATTGCGAAAGAATCGTCGAACGTATTTGCACAATATCAAGCCGAGAATGCACCGTGTCGTTCTCGAACCGCCTGTATGTGCCCTGTGTGAATATAAACTCAGTTTTTATTTACATAATCGTTGGGAATTTAACGAGTGGAGTTTTATCGCGCGGGAAGGCGTGGTATTAAGTCCGATTTTAGCTTTCATTATTTAAATCGAGTCGCTGCGACCACTTGGTGAACAAACATTATTGCCGGTATTGCCCCGAGTGCTCTAAACTGTATTAATGACTAATTATCCTTTGTGCCAGCGAAAAAATACAACCGCTGATCGTACGCGCGTGTATTGAACTGGATAATGCGTTTTCGATATTTCACGCAATGAATTTTACAAGGAGGTTAACCCCAATGGCTACACAAAAATTCGCAGCTCGTTGATATCTTCTATATACATGGCTGCGTGTGCAAGCATTTTGCGTGTCATATCGATTATTGATTTTAGTACGCTGCAAAATATTGTGTTCGAAGATTAGCAATGTTTTCGGCATCACGATTTTTATTTCATTTACACGAGGAAATTCGTGATGATATTGGGATGACGTAACTGGTATTTTTAATTTTGTTGCGCATAAAACGTTGTCCATCCATCGAACCAATTTTGTATTTTAATTTAATTTTGTATTTTAAATTTATATTTTAAAATGAACATATGTGAAAAAGGAACAAAGATTTACACTCATAACGAGCAAAAAAAAAAATATATTCTGTTATAATTATACATCGCCGTTCTTTTTTCTTATATTTTTTAGATTGCTCCGGAAATTATATATATCGATATTTTCGCCTTGTCGCTTTACTTTCAGCATAGTTTAAAAAATGCAACGGCTCGTTAAAAGTTCAAGGCTAGGGTATATTCTTCATATTATGCCATCTCATTTTACTGTTATCAGAATTTCTCGAGTTTTTACAGCGGTTGATTTAGTGCCGTAACGAGCTACCCTTTTGTGAGACGTCTTCTCATGCTAAACACCGCTATTTCGCCGGCAGCTAAGAAATCGCGGCTTAAGAACCAACCCGCAGGTTCCCACCGCATTCCGCAGCCTCAATGCTGTAAGTGATATCGATTTTCTTGGCGTGCCGTTTCCGCGGTGTAAACGAGCTATTACCTTCAGTACGTCTACTTTAACCTTCCATAATGGCGGGTGGTATTGCTTTTTTATGGTTGTGCATTTTTGTAACAATTATATCGTTTATTCTCTCTTTTAATAAAAGAAAAAAAAAAGAATCGTCTTCGAACCAGTTTGTCTGGATAGTTTTC